TATTCTCAAAAAGCGATATTGGAAAAGAAGTTTGCTATTAATATTTATTATTATATGTCGTTCATCCTTCGACCATTTTATTATAAATTCCATAAGCATACGCTATCACTTTTCTCTTTTAATATTTGAATATTTATTTTTCAATTTTGGGAAATATTGTCAATTATTCGTGAGAATAAAAGGAAGAAATGAAATATCTCTTTTTTCTACATATTCTTTTTATTTCTTTTTATTTACATATTTCATCAAAACCATATTAAGCCAAGATGACTAATTACTGGCTTACAAAAACTGAACGTTTATTTGACGTTTTTATATCGCAGCTTGTGTACATTTTATGTTCCTTTTATTGTATTTTATATATTTGTCGGTAACAATACTCGAATTTTTAATTAACTCGAATTTTTAATTTAATTTTTAAAAATATTTTTGTACGTTTTTTAAATTTTTTAATTCCTTTGCAAAGAATACTTTAATCAAATTGAAATCATAAAATCATATTACATCGTATTAAATCTGAATTTCAAATTTTGGAAAAATAGGAATTTATATAATATACATAAATTTAATTCGAGATTTTGAGAAATCAAAGAAAGTAAATTAACTTCATCTCAGTTGATACATTATAGGATCTCATCATTTTTAATTTCCAAATTATCACAATAATTATCACAATGTTTTAAACTATTTTATTTATTCACGAAATTTATTCGAGAAAAAATTTAATTCGAGATAAAAGAAAATTCAACTCATATGTTTACGTGAGCTTTCTCAATGGAAATTCCATTCAGTAAAGTATAAAATACGCATGAAAAAGACTCGATCGTTATCCCCTTTCCCATTATTCTCTTGCATTGTTCTGAAATCCACATTGGAACACTAAGTCGTTTTGCAAACTGTGAAACGAATTGATCTTTTGAACCACGAATCGGCTGTACTTACGAATGAAATTCTCTATCTCTAAAGCTTCGACACTTTTGTCCAAATTAATAGTAAAAGAAGAGAGAAATTGCCGAAGTAGTTCTGAAAATTGCATTGAATTAAAATGTAAAAATTACATTATAAAGAAAAATGTGATAATATGAAAATTAAAATGTAATTATAATGTAATTAAAAATTAAAATATGAAAATTAAAATCGTGAAATTAAAAATGTGAAAATTAAAATGTAATGAAATAAAAATCAAATATTTTGCCAATATTCTCTTGACATATGAGAATATTGTTATCTATCATTTTATGAAAATAATTAAATTAAGATATGTCAGAAATTGATGAAAATTTCTGACATATCTTTATAACAAAATTACATATTTTTATAACAGATATTTTTGAAGCGATAAGATATACTAAATAATTTAAATTCATTTACATATGTGTTTAAAGTAGATGCACTGATATCTTTTGATATTGTTTTGTTATCTTGTGTTTGATCTTTGTTATCTATATTGCGATCTGGGAATTCCGCTACACAAATGATTGTCAGAAATTAGATCAAAGTGTTGCAGTTTGGTTAGGATCATGACTGTGCGTGTCAGGTCATGGATCTGTAATCATGCCATATACTACTGGAAACATAATTGTGGCTCATCAAATGCTTATGCAACAATTCACAATGACATTTATATCGATTCTAAAGAACAAAATAATTTAGCAAATTTTTTCAAACTCACAATTTTAATTTATAAGCGCTGTAATACTTTTTTCGAAAAGTTAAATATTTAAGGTTATTATATTTATTTGGTCTTTTCTCTTTGGTTTTTTAATCGATCTATTCCACTTTTATCTATCTGTGATTGCTTTATTTTGACAATTGTCCATCTATATTATTTGTTGGATTATGATAGTCACATATTTTTCTTGAATAGTCTGTTCTACTTGTCAAATTAATTTATTTTAATATACATATATTTGTTTGATCATAATTATTTTATTTCTCTTGTCTGATATGTACTTATTTATTATATCGAATTTATTTTACTTCTTTCGACAATAATTGATCTTTACTACTTGTTTGACCATAACGATTTTACTTCTATTTTACTTCTCTGATCATGATTGATTTTTATCACTTTGTTTGACTAAAAAAATAAATTCTTCTTCCATGTCTGATTATTGACTGGCCTACACTATTTAATTAGAAAGTAATCAAACGTTATCTTATAGAATATCTATATATATATTCTCGAAAAAGTATTTTAAAATAAAACCAGATAAATATTTGATTTCTATTTTCTACAAAACGAAAAATTCTCTGAATAGAAATACCTATTCTGGTTATCGAGGATAATAATGATGCTACTCAACAACTGACGACATTCAGCATTCTCGAATCGGTTGCTTGTTATTCTGGTAGATAGTACCGTTGATCAAATACAGACGGAGCGCAATATTCAGTCAGAGATATTTCGAGTTGGTGACATTTGAACGAATAAAGAATCAATGATTTTGATGATCGATAGTTCACGGCTAGAATATAAATTACCGTTTCTAAGACAAGACACGTTATTAAATTTTTAATCAATTGTTCGTCTTATCATCCGGTTTTCATTCTATCGATCCATTCAGCGATGAAAGAAAGAAAGTCGAGTTTGCGAACGTAATTGAATGGATAAGAAATTCAAGGATCTGTGTGGTCGGGATCCAGATAGGTTACTAAATTTATATCATAGTCGGGGCACTTTTTGCGAGACTCATTAAGGTGATTCGCTTTTTATTTCCCTGTCTTTCATCTGGTCGATGATGTAATAAAAATTAATACGATGGTTAACCCTTTCGAGACTAATGGGATATTACGTTCCTAAAGTAATTTTTGTGTAAATTTCAGCATTACAATTTTTCTGATATCATTTACAAGAGACTTATTGAAACATGGTATAACATTAGAAGTAGAGATTATTAATTTCATTTTGGAAATAGATTTCATTTATTTTTAATTATATGTTTATAACATTATAGATGATACTATTCAAACCATTAACGAAAAAATTGAATAATTTTTACAACCATAGCTATATTATGACAATGTTTCTTAACTCTTATAATGATATTAGATAAATGAAAATTTAAAATATCAGTATGGTTTTCATCATTGCAAAACTATATTGTCTTTAAATAATTTTCTAGAAAACATTTAATGATTTTCAAAATGGACTTTCACTATGGACTTATGTGATAATGACATGTAAACATCTTACATCGTGCACTAATTCTTAATCCACCTTAACACTTTCCCAACTATGAATTTTCTATTTAATTTACGATGACAAAATAAACACATTCACTGCTGATGCCTTGATCCTTTCTCGCAAACTGCTACCATGTCAATGGAAGAATAGCTTGGCTCCTTGCTCGATGAATTTCTCGCCGATCTTTGGTCAGGTTGTGCATCGAGTTCCAGCAAATTTTTCGAGATACACCGGGATGAAAAGAGATATGCCGGCGACTTGGATGCTTGAATAGATCATTCTCGGTCGGGTTGCCGAATGTTCTGTTGCCATGCATCTGTGCAGGATGCATGCAATGGCGCGCATTCGTACTTTGATCACATCTCCGTTAGAATAGCTTTCACCTCTCTCTTCCTCCACCGTCCATTCTCTCTGTCTATCTCTGTCGAACCCCGGATGATCGCGCAAAGCTTTTCGAAAGGAGACTTTGACGCGTATTTGCACACGCGCGAAAAATCGTTCTGCTATAACCGGATGTTTCCTCCCCAAACGATATTTTATGCAGCTACTTGATAACGCGTTTCTTTCAGAATTATTTTATCGAAATCGGATACATCGTTTTTCTCCTCTGACGCCTTTGAATATTCTTCTACCTCTTTGCGCGCGCGCATTTGTGTACACGCTTGAAGCTGTGGAAATTCGATTCGAAATGCGATAGCGAAATTGCATTCGTGTTTTCTAAATATCGCAACAAATACGTGTTTATCTCGCTTAAGAAATAGATTGTGCAAGGGAGTGTGAGTGTAGATTGCGAGCAGTGTTGCTGAAATTTTACAGGTGCGCTGAACGAAATAAAAGAAATGTTCTGGTTCTCTTATTTGAAGCTTGTAACTATAATTCTTTTTGAGTAAAAAGAAATATATATATATATTTATAAAAAATACACCATATAATGATTTATTACGTGGCCTCGTTAGATATAAAGGATGTTTTTTAATTTATGCTTGTTGATGCAAAAAAATTTTTTTTTTTACACGTATGTACGGTTTCGAGAAAATATTCGTGGAACAATATATATCTGGATTTGATATTTGGTCCATTTCGATATAGCTCGATGTTACAGTCTTTCTTCCGATAATTCACATTTATCCGGGGACGTATATAGAACTATGACTGCGAACAACGAGAACTAAATCATACGTCAAATACATTTCTCTTTCACAATCGAAGTTATTATTACATTCTCGACAATTCTATTACGAATTATACGATTGTCTATGTTGCAGCGGTTAGATGTAGATATAAAATAAAGATCTCTATGTTCTAATAGACTTCCATCGATAATCGCATTTTTTGCTATAGATACGTTAATCATCGATAGCATACATATTCTCGTTTATTATCTGAATTTCTGTTTTCAAATCTCCAAAATCTCTCTTTATCAACTTTATTGTAATCGCCATTGATCTTAACTAATCTACACAAGAATAAGAATAAAACAATTAGAAATAACTACATGAGCATGTCGAAACTGCACGAATTGATACATCTGTATCGAAAATAATTGTCCCCATTTATCGCAAATAATCATCTCAACCAAACGTCGTCAAGATCGAATCCTTTGTCGAATCCATTCGCCTATGAACATCAGTTGGCAAACACATTGGAGGCAGCAAACATCAATTTTCAACCAAGTTACCCGACAGTGTACACAAACTATCGTCATTTTGGCGGTATCGCGGTATTCATCGGGTTATTCGGGAATTTTCCTTGAACCGTTGAAGAAAGAGCCGCGTGTGGCCACCGTGGACTTTCATCGGTGTTTGGATTTCAGAGACGGTGTTCCGCGGTGGCCCGGTAAAATCAACAGACGTCGCGGAATATAAGAAGCTTCGGGGGATGCGAAAACCGGTGGACGATGTCGATGAGACCGGCCTGGGGGCCGAAATTGTTTCTCGTGCTGGTGACGACCACGATCGTTATCGGCAATTATCAGCGTCATCGCGAGAGGATCCATTTGCGGGAGCAGCTCGTTAACGGGCACAAAGTGACGAGGAACATCACTCGATTGCAAGGTAAGTCGCGTTTCCTAACATTGTTCCGTTTCTATGGGCGGGGGGAGGTCGAAGAATATCATCATTGTGTTAATTTAGGATAACGAGTGTTCATTAAATCAGATTAATTATCGTTTGCTATCCTGTTTTAGTTATATCCTTCTTAAAATATGTGTATTTTATTGTCTTCTTTAAATAAGAATTTTTTTTGGGTAGATACAATGTTTAAAAATGAAAAGGAAGCATTATAATTGGTACTTTTTATTATGGTGTTGTTCTTATTTAATTTCTTATTTGTTTAATTTCTTTTTCTTGTAATATAGATAATGAATATCTATTTTAATACCTAAAAGTTCCTTTAATTTAGTAAATGAAATTAGAAATTTGATTCTTGAAAAATTTTATTTTCTTATATATGTTTTGAAAAGGTAGATAGAAGAACAGATTATAGACTTGAAATTAACAAATAAATGCACTTAGTTTCATTTTAATTTGCATAAATATTTTGCATTATTTATTATGATTTTAAAATACTATATATATATATGTTTTTAAATAAAAATTAAATAATAATAATATTCGTGACAATTTTTTTTTATAATAAGATTTTAATTATTCACGTGTGTGCAGTTTTTATGTTAATATATTTTTATAAGAATTTTCTGATTCAGTCTGTGTCCAACAAGAGACAGAAACTTTCAGTTTTTATTGAAGACGTCAATTCGAATTTTTCTGAGGTTTTGCGTATTATAGGAAACTCTTGTCACGAATAATGTCGTATAAAACGTGAGATAGTGATATAACCGAGATTTTCACAAATCCTATATTTGAATACACGAACCAATATTTGGATACACGATCCAAGAACATGTATCAAATCATACGTGTTATACGCTAAAGTTTCGTGAAAAAGATAAACGACTCATAAATTTATAATTTTTCAAAATTTCACATCTGTATTGTTTTTTTTAAATTGTAAATTTTCTTTTGCTAAATATTTCATTTTAAAATACGTTAAATATTCTTTTTCTTTTAAAAAAAAGATAGATGAAATTTTAGAATAAATTTCGAAAAAATTTGAATTAAATAATCGTAATTATAAAGCAACGAATAAAACGAGGATAATTTAGAATTTAGACGTATTTCTTTGTTAATTCTACAATTGAGAATGGAGTGCAAGTGAACTCTGCACTATTTTGACTCTTGTTTCGAAGACTTTTCTCTAACCGTGCAACAGAAAGCGAAGTAAACAACGTGAGAAAAAAGCGCATAACAGCGTATGTTTTACGTCTTTCGAAGTATATACGTACAATATATATTCTTTTCTCACTGTTCTCAATTTACTCCCACACGTAACAAAAGAAGTTGGAAAATAAAAGTTGAAGGTACAATTAAGAGAGGTGAAAAAATTTAGATAATCCTAATCTTAGAAATTATTCTATATAAAATATAGACTATTTCAAATAAATACACTGCAAATTTTTTCAAACAGGACTTATACAAAATCTTGTTTAATTTTGAAAATTAAATTGAACCTACTTTTTTATTCATTCATTATATTTCTACTTCATCATATTCAATCGTCCATCCAATCAATCAAATTAAAAAAAAAATTCATCAGAAAAATCTCTTGGAGGAGATTCAAAGGCGATCCTAAGGCGATTCAAATAAATTCTAAACATAATCCAGCTTTTAGAATTAAACGTTCAAAATAATCGCACATAAAGTAAGATTTCCAACATCTCATAAACGATAACAAAAACCTTTGAAGCCAGCATCAGAGATAAAGCGTCCTCCGGAGTAAAAAGGGAATTGACAACTATAAAAGCAATTTCAACTACGTCCGCGCGACGAAGAGCGGAACAAGACAGAGAGAAGAACGGATATATCGCGAGTTGATATTCGACTACACCCGTACCGTGGATCGATCCTCCATGAAAAACGAGTGGCAACGTCACGTCGCCGCGTCATTTTCGATAACACCAACTACGACGAGCAACCATTCTGCATACGTACCATCGCGTGCTCGCCGAATTTATCGCCGATTTATCCCCCGTAAAATTCCCTCGTCACATCCTCTCATTCTGTGAAGCGAGACAATGATGGAAACACGATCGAACAACTCCTTAATTCCGTTCTCGAGTGTTTCGCCTCCCCCTTCCATTTGGAAATTTTTGTCGCGCAACGCTTCGAGCGAATTTGTACCAAGAGGAATTTTTATTACTGGCGAAAGCTTTTTCGCAAAGGAGTTTTTAAAAGTTTTTTCCTTTCACCGAAGTCGTTTCACCGGTGAATTTTTGTCCCATTTGAAACAGGAAAAGAATGTTGAAGATGGAGAAGGTTAACCATCTGCTTGTGAATTAATTTTCTGGAATGTGGTGCGAGGAGAGAAATGGAGCTCGAGCTTTTTCAGCGTGTTTCGAAGTAATTACGGGGATAAATAAAGAATCAGGCATTGGGTGTTTTGTTTCTATGATGTTATTGAAATCATTTATCGTTGAAGTGGAATTGAGATAGATACGAGGGAATATGTATGTGTACATATGAAAATGCGCATTAAAAATCTTATGTTCAAGAAACGAGAAATATATTATTCGCGACATGGCAATTACGTGTTAACCTTAATTATAGTTAACTACTTTTGCATCCTCGTTAGATAAAATTTTAAAGATTTATTTTAACGGGAAAAAAATAGAAATGGAGATAAAAGTTATCACGATATATGATAAATCTTGAGCATCATCTTCTGTGCAGTTAGAATTACTTTCGATCTATCCGTCTTTTCAGGATTAGCTTCTCAATTTATTACTGCTTTAGGATTTACATTCGAGACTAACTTTGGATGTTGACCTAAACGACGAATCAGTTCAATTAGTCCTCGAACACCTGTCTATCCGAGTACTAAAGTTTCTAAAGTTGGGGCGCAAACCTGATCCGAAAGGGATGATCCTATGTTCACTACTTGTGGAATTATGTTACATTACATCGCTCTTAATTAAATATTTAAAATGAACTATAACCACTTATATATATACGAGAATACGAGAAAGAAAAGAATTCTCAAAAATTATTATATTTGTGTAATGGATGTTGAGTCTACAATTTGCATTTAATAATTACATTTCTTATTATTATCAAATTATTTTAATAACAAAGAATATTAAATAATTGCAAATTCTTAAAGTTGCAATAGTGATATATCCTAGTCTATCATTGACGCATGATTATGGTAAATAAAAAAGTAGAAACATCGCATTTCTTTTTTTATTCCAGAATAATTGTAAAATGTTGTTATTAATTAAAATTTTATAACTTATATAATCCAAGAATCGTTTGCAGAATTGCCAAGCCTCGACTAGACTCTATTTTATTACGAGAATGTTTCAAAGTAATGAGAAAACAAACACGGAAAACCAATAAAAGCGTAGAGTGTTTAATTACGCTCTTTATAGAGAAACGGATAATCACTCCCTTCTTACGCTTAAATTTGTTTTACAATCTCATCATCTGTCAACTCGTTAGACTCTGGTGAAACGTAATCCAGCAAATTTTACTATTATTTCGTCGCGATGAATATATATTTTATCATTTTATCTTTCTCGTTGCATTATAAATCGCATGATTGGTGTCGAGAGATGCCTAAAGCAGGAACGGAAGCAACGAGAAGAAAGACAAAGGACAGTTGTCTTCGTTTTAATTATGCTCGGAGCTTATCGTTGTTATTTAACCCGTGAAAAAAACCAGGTGCAGTTATATCGGCAAAAACTACGTATAATTAACTGTTATTTAACGCGCTGGAATCTCGTTATGAAGTATCGATGCAAATTAGAAAAGTTTCTCGCTTATATTGTACCGTGCACGTCCAGCAACGAATCTATTCTCGCTTTAATAAACGCCTGACAAATTGGAACAAAAAATTTGGAGCGAAAAAAAAAGTATGCTTTTCTGGATATTATAAATATAATATTTAAAATCTTAAACGAAATTCTAATCTTTTTAATTAACGTAATGGTGTCATCTCTATTCAACAGTTAAATCTGATTAAATTGAATTGATTGTACAAGCAACAATACAATTCACTTACTTCATCATTGTTCAAAATTGTATGCTAAACATCTTACGTCTAGAGATTCCTCGCTGTGAAGTTAGGAATGGATTCATACCAATGCAATGAACCTGAATGTACAAGTAATTACATATTGTATCCACTCCCTATTGTTTTGTTGGAGTGTGTTGCAAGGATAGGTTTGTCTAATATATGTCCATTAGGCACATATAGAAATAAATTAAAGAAATTAATCATACATCAATAAAATTAAAGATAAGAAAGGATACTTATCTACGAATTGTTAAATTATTTGATCGATTGGAAGATTATTTATTAAAATTTATTAGATACGTCTGATGGCAATCGATTGCTTCTACAGAATTTGTAATGAAAATTAATTTTTGATTTGCTTATATATTTTTATATTTATTTCGATGTTTAAAATTAAATAAAATAATATATATGAAATGATTACGAAAACTATTTGTATATAATCTTTTTTTAAAACAGATTCTACATTTTATAATAAAACATATAATTACATTAATTATATGTAATAATATTCAGGATTAACATATTCATAGAACGTCTTGAAAACGATCATGAAAGTTATAGATATATAAAAATACCAATTAATTATTAAATTATAAGAAATTGAAGTTCGTGTTGGAAGCGAAATGAAGATAAAGCGAGGCAACTCTATCTTCGTCGCACTGTCATTTATCTCCATCTTGCTTCATTTAACGCAAACTTTAATTGGTTATAATTTAATAAATAAACTTCAACCATTATATTATATTTTTATGCACATCAATTTATATTTTCGTTTTTGGCCTCCAAAAATATTTCATGAATACATTAATATCTTGCACAATAATATACAAATTATATTATAAAATAATATTATAAAATAATATACAAATATTTTTTAGTTCGATCAATAAATATAAATAATTTCAAATACAAATGACTA